CACAACGACGTTTCACATTTCCAAACAGCGCCGGTTACTTCTTGCTCTCTGACACGAGCCAGCTCGAACTGGAGAAACGTATAGATAGGTGAGAGTTGCCGAAATCAGTCTTCTAAATCGCATCTTGTCCATTTCTTCGTTATTATTGGAGTTCTTCTAGTCAGAGATAGGACAAAACGTAATGATTCCTGATCGGCCCGCATCCTGATCCGCCATTTTCAGGGGTGATGTGAGTGGGAGTGTGAGAGAAGCTCTAAGACTGAAATGATGAAGCTTTTCTCTACATCCACTCATTTTCTTCGTACAACTAGCGGACTCCTAATTCTGACTTGAGGAACTCTAATTATATTATTGAATATGAACAACATCCGACGGTAAAGATGAAGAATTGATGATCATGGAGAAACATAAGTAAAAAGTTGTTATTTTGCTCGCGCTACAAACACTTAAAATACGATTGAGGTACGATCAGGTACGATTTAGCAGGCCGGTACGACAACTTTTCTCTATTGCGACGCGACGAAAACATCGGGAGCGATTCACTTGTGGAACGCGTTCGGGAAAAATATGAGGACCCCGAGCGTGACGTTGTACACATGTAATTTCAGCTCGTATCATCGGATCGCTTGCAGGATTCATAGAGCAAACACACGAGCGGCACGACGGTCCATCCTGCTGATTCTCGTCGCAAACACACACAAGGACGAGCGGGCAGGCGAGCAGGCGGCGGGCAAGGCAGCCGTCTTCCGTAAAAGCCGTAGCGCTTGTGGAATGAGTTTGCGGAAGTACGGTCGTGGCTACTTATCTCATAAACTTACGAACGTTACGTTGGATTTACGGGCGATAACGCGGGAATCTCGGCGCGCGCGCGGAGATCGAGGAAAAACCGGCGCGGCGCGGCGCGAAACACGGGAAGGCTATTTTAACGGGTGTAACGTCCGACGTTGGCCTCACATCGGAGGGGTTCGGAAATGGAACGAAATCCGATAGCGGGCCGTCGGCCGTGAGAACCACTTTACCGACATGCTCATCGAGGGTAGGTAGCTAGGCTAGCTAGGCAGGTAGGTGGATAGATAGGTAGCTAGGTAGATAGGTAGGTAGGTAGGTAGGAAGGTAGGTAGGTAGGTAGGTGGGTAGGCTTCGCCTTTCACACATCGGGCTAAAGGGGAGGCTCTTATAAAGAACGGAATTGCTTTCTCGAGAAACATGCTCTGCTTCTGTGGCAAAGAACGTACCTACGGCGGAACTTGAATTACTTTTAGCCTCAGATATATTCCTCAGAGAGATGATGACTCCCACGAGATATTCGTCTCTCCGTCTAAATTCATGATTCGCACCGCTGAACGATACAACGGTATACACGTAGACGCATTTTTCTCATTCCGGAAAATAAAGCGATTCGCCTCTTTTCTCTTCTTCTACTTTTTCTTTTTCTCCTTCTTTCGCTACTTTGTTTTTATTCTCTTTTTATTCTCTCTCTCTCTCTCTCTCTCTCTCTCTCTCTCTCTCGTTGCGAGAGAGCGTTTGGCGCGTAACACTGTCGTTTTATCGCGCGCTTCCTTGACAGTCGCGCTTAATGAGGAAAACTCGAAAATTTACGTCGCGTCGAAATAATGACGAGAGCCTGCCGGGAGTAATGCGCGTCGCGATTCCGCTCTCAATCATCCACGGCGTCGCTCGCTGTGTCGCCAGAGGGACGATTTATCGTTTGCGTGACGAAAGTGAAATTTTGCACAGCGGAGCGGAGTAAATGTTCGAGCCGCATAATCATTCGCTCGCCGAGTGCAAATCCTGAGTTGCGACTCGACGGAAATTCCGCGCAGGAAAACGGCATACTCCGTGGTGTGTTTCCCCTCGGCGCGAGATGATGATTCGTCTCACTTTGATATTCCGCGGTGTATGTTATCTGGACGGGCGCGATGAATTATTGAGCCGCATCGCGTAATGGTACACGCCACTTATGAAACCGGCTCATCAAAGATGTACATCGTCAGGCACTCGGCGGGCATAAAAATGTTCGCACACGTGGCGCGAATCGTCAAGTGTAAGTGCATTAGGAAAAGATGAAGCGATAGCCCGCGTCGCGGCCCCGACGAAACGGGCGGGAGCTACTTACCACGTGTGTGTGAAGGGAGGAAGAAGAAGAAGAGGGAGCCAAGTTCCGAGGCGACGCACAGGGTGTAACATACACACACATATTAACCGAGCGAGAATTTTCGTCGTAAATCTCCGTACGCGCCCCATCTCCCGTGAAGTCCGCAACGTGTAACTCGTTTTGCAAGAAAGAACAGCCTAAACATATCGACGAAATAACCATAAAACACTCGTATAGTCGCCGGAAGAAAGATCGCGAACATTTCCCCTTTATCTCGATAAACCCTCAGAACGCATCTAGCATTCAATAGGAAAACTTAGAGCACAAAATTATATAGTACATACGGAAAAAGAAGGTATGACGTATACAGACGGAAATATTTAATTGTGAGCAGAGCATAGAGTTATATGAGTTATCCCTAGTTATCTTTGTGATGGTAATATGTACGGTTGATATGGCTCAGTTATATCAACTACATGAATGTAGCTACGCGTGACCTGATTGCGGCAACCAGAAATCGGTTGGGGCAACATTAACCGTGGATACGCTCTGGTTGGAGCAACCAGATGTCATTGCTGCAACGCCAGTAACTCAGCAACTGACCGTAGTTATGCAAGAATGATCCAACCCACATGAAGTACGTTTCTATCTTTATTTTTGAGGAAAATGAAGATGAAAACTTGATATATGATTGAAGAAGTATAGAATGCACTGAGCCTTTCTTTTTAATCGTTCAAGAGTAGAGTACAGTCAATTTCTTCTTCAAAAAATCTGATTTTTCTTATATCTGTCCGCAGTTTTCATCTATGAATATCTCTTTTGGAATTATAGAATGCAGGCAAAGCTTAAACGAAGCTTGGTTACAATACTGGTCGCAAGAAAAGTCAGGTTTTTTTAGAGTGCCAATAATGATTAGGGGATGTCAATAACTGAGCGTTCTACCCCTAGTCCTTCTCACGTAAAAGGTTGCAAAAGGAAAAATGCGTTTGACGTATACTGTCGAATAATTCTACCCTCCCGCTGTTAAATGAAATTGTCACTAATAATTAAGAAATGGCTCTTATAAGTCAGCACTTCTCACTTTGGTTTTATTCCCCGAAAGCCAGTGAATAAGTATTTATAGCAATATGAGTTCTCCAAGAACTATTAGAATGGAAATTCTCGTATGGATATGGAGGCGGGTTGCGAAATTTATCGAGGCAAAATTGTTGCAACCTATTTTCCACCGACTACGATAACATCGCGACAGATATGAGCTCCCAAAATCGAGAATGTTCATTGCGCTTCTGGAACATACGGTAAGGCACATTTAGCGGAAACGCGAGAGGAATATTTTTGGCCGGTGTTTTTATCGTCGCGGTGGTACGAGTTATTCCGACGGGAGAGTGTCGAATTTGACATTCGGCGGGCGGTTTTGTAACATCGTGTAATGGCGGCCTGCATTATTTGTTTATCGCGAATGAGCTCTGTGTCTATTCGTTTTGATGATCCGCCAGGGGATATTTTAACGCAAATTGCGGCCGACATTTGTGCGTTTCTCCTGCCGCTGATCCTGCACGTTTCAGCCGTGACCGTAAATGTTTTCGCGCGATTATGTAAAAATGGATGCGGGATCGCGCCACGAATACGTGATGCATGCAGAAGAAAGAAGTGAGAAGATATATCGCTGCGAATGTAAGAAAGAGGCGCCGTGCCGTCGATTTGCGCTCGCAGGTACAAAATCGCTAATTATCGAATCAATCGGCAAGAAAATGAACTCACATCCTTTTTAACATTCGCCGGCGCTTCTTCTCTTTTTCGTTGGCACATTGTTTATCTGTTTTGAGACGAAGGGAAAACCGCGTTGCGCCGCGTTATATGACGCGTGTTCGCATTACGTGCGCGGCATCGGTAAGTCTTCCTTCTCGCGTTCCACTTTGAAATATTAATTTATATGATTCTCGCTATACACACGAACAAAGTCTCGCTCGAGCTTATGATTCTCGACGATATCGATATCAGAGGGTACCGAGACGGCTTTTTCTGCTTTTGCTTTGAAGCTAGTCTCCTTGAAAACTACATAAAACATATGAAAAAAGATCAAAAGCGAAGGGTGGTATCGTTATATTGTTTTCCAATAAACTGATAATAATCCTGGAATTTCTCACTGCGTCGACCAAAATTCCCGACTTTTCGTCCTTTTCGAAACCTTTCCTCAGAGACCTCAATTGAAATCACATATTTCTGTATCCTCTTGAGAACACAGAATGTTTCTCTCTTTAATTCTAAATAAAGTATCAATCATATATGTCCCTAAAACTTCTCGTCAAACTAGATTCCCGACCTTTCGTCCCTTAGATATATTTTATTAACAACACATACTTTCTCCTCTTCTTCTCTTGAGAGCACAGCATGTTTTCTCCTTTAATTTTAAATAAAGTAGCGATCATACCCGTCCTTAAACTTTCTTGTTACATCAAACCAAATTCCCAGTCTTTCGCCTCTTCTGACACCTTCCCTTAGACCTTTTTAATTAAAAGCACACATTTTTCTGCGTTCTGTTGGGAGAGCGGTAGGTTTCCTCCTCAATTTAATTCCTTAATTAAATACTATGTCATATACGTCCTTTTTCGTAATCATCTATTATACTTGTAATATCATAGTTTGTAGAAAGTATAAGAACGGGTCGCGTTATTTGCCGGGGATATTTGCGAGGGATATATCTCGAGTTTCTTCTCACACGGCGATGAATCGTGCTGTGCGCGAATGCACTTTTTATCGAAACAAAGTCGCGTACACGCGCGGGACACGTCGTCTTTGAGGAGAATATAGATGCGTTAGTAAGATATTCCCAGAACGCTATTTCTGCGCTATCTCTCATTAATAATCCATCGCCACCGTGCATCTATCGTGCTTTGCGACTTACCGGGCGCATAATCGCGGGGCACCGCTGTCCGGCCGATCCGTCCGGCGCGTCGGGCAGAACTAGAGGGAGAGGCAGAAGAACGGCGGAAAGAGAGTGCGAACGGGGTGCAAAGCCGAACGTCGAGCACGGGGTGAGCGCGCGCACGGCGGTTTCACCGTGCGAAAGTTTTCTCAAGTTTTCCGCGACGGTGTACGGCAACACGCACGCACGCACGCACTCGGAGCGAAAATCGATAACAATGAGCGCCGGGGGTGAGAAGGGTTAGGCGGGTCGAGCGGGAAACAAGATGAAGAAAGGAAGGAAGAAAGGGAAAGAAAATCGCGGAGAGAGAACTCGAGATTCAACGGCGGACACGCGACGACGGCACGCGGGCACGCACGCGGGCGGCCAGGTAGGCGCGCACGCATGCACCACTCAATGTCCCGCGCCACCGCACACGAAGATGACATCACATCCGTCACGTCCTCGCGCCACGGAAGCCCGCGCAGCACTGACTCTTTCTACTAGCCGCTCTCTCGCCGACTCGCGCCCGCCGCCTCGGCCACGCGAGGAGAGATCCGTGCGACGAGAGAGAACGGCGCACAGCACAGCGCACACACATACACGCATGCACCGCACACATGCATACACACACACACACACACACATACACACACACACACACGGCGCTTTACGCGCTTACGTGCGCGCGCGGCTTGAAACTAGGACTGACATTAATAAAGCTGATTAACGAGGCAGTCGATGAACCTGAAAACGCGTAATACGATTAGCATTATGTTCGCGACAAGGTATTGCGCGAAATTTATTTCGCTACTACTTTTTGCCGGCGACGAGTTGCGATGCGTGTGCTCGTGCGTCTCGAGGGCTCGTCTGCTTTATCGGGAGCAGAGGTCAGCGCGAGGGGGTTTTGCGTGAAACCTACCTGGTCTCTCTTCGATTCAAACGGGAATGCTTAATAAATAGCTTGACGAAAGCTGATTGATTAGTAAACATGAAGCGCTTTGACCTATCAAAACGTGATGTTTTCGCAACAGCAGCCCCGGGCAGAATTGTGATTTAATGCATGCTGCTTATTTCCAAGAACTTCCTCTCTCTCTCTTTTTCTCTCTCACACGCACACACACACACACACACACACACACACACACACACACACACACACACACCGATTGAATGAATCTTCGAGAGGAACGGCTGTAATTAAAAAGTTACAGCTAAGACGGCGACGGTTGTTCGCCTCATCGTAGTTGCTAATTGCCTCCAGTGGAGAAGAACGCTGTCAAGATCAATTGATCGGTTATCCGTAATCAAATAAGTTACACTCCAGAAGAAGTTCGAAAGGTCAGACGAACCCGTCCGCTCATATCGTTACTCTCCTCATGCCTGACACTTTTCACTCATCGACTCTTTCCTCGCCGAAGTTTCCGCTGAAAGCTCGGAGCTTTTCCGAGTCGCGAAGAAGGCGTCGATTTACTTGCACTGGGTGACCTCATTACCTGCTACATTTCGCGGTGCGAAAACGTTGAATGTAACAATGTGGATCGAAGGATTGAAGTCCTCTATTATTCCGCGCGGTATACTATATATAGATAGATTACTCAGAAATAGACTTTCATGATTATTACAATGTATAACAATTGATGGAAACTCTGCAATTTTCTTAATCACGTTTATGAGGCAAATATACTGTATATAGAATTAATCATTAAATTTGCATTACACAATAACGTATTGTTTTATAGATTTATGTAGCTACAAATTCATTAAAATTTACACATTCATATTATATTTTACGTGACGTACTGTTTCGTGCAAGCTTCAATCATTCTTTTTGTGTTTCTTTTGTAATTCAATTTTGTCATTTTATAACAAGTATGAATGTCGCCTAATTTGTCACGAAGGATTCAACGTTGCTGAATTTCGTGATTTAATATATTTAAAGTCGCTGTAAATTCACGTACATCAGTCTACCGAGGTTCTTAATCTGTATTAATGCCCGCGTCCGCGAATACACCGTCGCTCGGCGTGGGTATACACGTCAAACACGTGTTGCTACGCAATAATTCGTTGCGTTTTCGCACGGGCCCGCTCGATTCGGCCGCTACTCGTCGAGTGCCAAGCGCTTAATTTGCGCGGAACGAGAGATTAATCCTCGCGTTGTGAAGCGATTTCGCATCAGTCGGCTTCGTCCTCGCCTGCACGGGGCCGAAGGGAGGGCGGGAAGGTGTCGTCAAGTGCAGCATACATGTTTCTGGCGGCACTGTTCGAGCACGCTTGTGTTAAGGACCGAATCGTGTGCACGCGTAGAAAGAGTCCCTCCGCGTTTTCGACATTCGACAATGAAAATAGTGGCTTGGAGTGCGCTCGATTCGCACTGCAATGCGCCGCGTGTAACTAACAATGCCTGTTGTTGCAACAGTATTTCTCTGAATAGTATGCGCGTGCATGTACATATCGGGTGGTGCGAGGCTAATGTATTTGCAACGTTCAGTCGAATGGATTTTTCGTTTCTCTACCCTTGGAACGACGGACAGATCTTCACGAATGAACACCGAGAACACCGAGGAAATTTCTCATTTTCCGTTCCTCAGCATTCTTTCACTCGCGTTATTCGATATTTTCCTAATCAAGAGCGCGGATTATTGTTTTTTTCTTTAAGTAAAGATAATCTCAAAGATGTAGAGTTGCGTTATCCACCCGGTCACATTTGGGTCTCTTCGAGCGAAAAGAGTTCTTTACCTGCAATCACCTATCATACGAAAACTCTCAATATTCTTTTGTGAGGAAATACTCAGATATTTCCAATTCGAGCAAAAAGCTCTTTGATGTTTCGCACGTTAATTGCAAATCATGTTGTACATGCACAATGGGAAATTGCCCCCCGGAGGGGGGGATGCAAAGGGATATCATTTATTTCCGAACATTGCGATGATCAAGTATCGCGTTGTTTATTTTAATCAATATGAAACGCGAATTATCTCGAGAGAGAAAGATAGGGAGAGAGAAAGAGAAGGAAAGAGAGAGAAGGAGAGGGAGAGAGAGAGAGAGAGAGAGAGAAAGAGAGAGAGAGCATTATGACGAAATACAGAAAGCCGTGTTTGCGAGGATATTGATTCCACGTGTCCCGCTCGGCTTGCGAAATTCACACGTAATATTAACGCAAACATGTAACGTCACGGCGGGCGCCTTGTTTCGGGGTGGGTGAACGAATTGTCAAGGCTGTAATCCGACTGTGATTAATGGATTAAGTCGGACGGATCGGGAAGCGTATCTTCTCATGCGATATTGCGGGATATCTGAAACATTTAACGAAAACAGGTTGCACACTCATAACACTATAATTGAGGCGTGACCGCGCGCCAGGCTGACTTTAATTTTTATTGAAGGCCAGATCCCGGTGGCGCAAATGCGATTGAGTGCAAAATTATTTGCACATTCTCTCTCACCCCGCCTACCGCTCCCGTCTCTCGTAGCCCATCGGATTAACCACTGTGCTGTGAAATAATTTGTCTGCAGAGATGCTGCGCGCCAGAGATAATGCGTGCGCGTACGTACTACAGCGTAGTTGACATCAGCCACATAGCTTATTTATCTCTATCTCTCCTCTTCTCCATATTCTAATTGTCATAAAGCCATATTAAAAAAGACATATATTACGCGTTACAGTGCGCAAACTTGCAGTAGTTTTCGTTACGTGAGATATCTCGGAACTGCTGTAGAAATACGGAGCTTGTAGACCAGCACTGCGACTTTACAAAGGCTCGAGGACAGAAATTCGATGATGACATTCCAATCGGCGTTGAAATCACGTGTTGAACAATTTGTGGGCGAATATTTGCACATCTCCTTTCACAAATCACAATTATCGATATATGTGATTTTCGTCAGAAATCGTGCCTTCGTTTTGACCCGCATGTTCCGGAGACATTAGTGGATTAATAGGTCGCGGTGCTCAACGTTTTTTCGTCGCATCTCGCCCGTTGTCTGGTCTCTTTGGCGCGTGCAATATTCATTATCTGGCCGTCGATAGTCCGAGAATAAAAAAATCTCCGTGACACAGCTGGTCGGACGCGAAATAATCCCCGGGGGATCGCCGCCACTCGATCGCACGCTCGCTCGCTCGCTCGCTTGTACTGCAGCGCATCGCGGATATTCTATTCTCGAATCCGTTTCAATCCGCCGGGGACTGGCACGTCTTCGAACGGACGAAAACCGTCACTTGGGCGATCTAATAAATATCGACGTGTACACTGCACGTTTGTTCCTCCTGCGAGTTCCTGCTGCCTCTCATCCTTCACCTCCTCCTTCTCCTCCTCATGGAACCTTTCTCCTGCGAGTTTCACGGTAACTCAATATAAGCGGGCTCGCGCGTCGCTAAGGCGTTACAGAGCCCGACCCAATTTCGCTCCGAATCCGGTGTAACGATTTCGCTTTTGACCGGGCGCTTCCGCCTGCATCGCGGAGACAATCTCGTTAGTTGGCCGTCGTCGTCTCGCCCGACCGGAATGGAAAAACTGATCATCCGCTACAAAGCCCCCGGAGTTAATGGAGTGCCCAAGCCGGCGACCTTGCGGTTTTTAAAATTCACGACACGTCTTACGAGCATGTTGTGATGGTCCTAACGAGATTACAGATCGCTATAGAGAGTGACTTACCGCGTCATCTTTCATCTACGGATTCTCCGGCCGATCTCGGTATCGATTTCTCGTTAACGAAAACGCCGGCAGACCAACGGTGGTCGTTTTTCCCCTCTTCTTCCTCCGATCTTATTCTCAATGTGGTTATCGAGGGTGGAGAATGGCGAAACTTACGTCGCATGGCGGAATCGATGAGTAAGATTGACCAAGAGTTAGTCGCCGTGGGACGTCGTGTACTCTTACGAGATCGGGTAACTCGATTTGCAGGATTAAACAATGATGAAACGTACAGAGAAAATGGCTCCGCTGTCTCGCGACGCTACAATTCGCGATTCGACGTGAGGGAGTTAATGCACGGGTATTTGTCAAAAGTAAGAACACGAAAAGTTGGTAATTTCCGCCCGCCGGAATATACGGGTGTCAAATATTTACTTGGCTAAGTGGAATTAGGAAGTTGGATCGCGTGCCGTTTTATGTATTTTCTCTCTAATAAATTCATGCAGCGGGCACGCAGACGAAACCGCCGATCCGTCAGCTCTAAATGGATCCGTCGACGTTTCACATCGTTCAGGTAGGCACCGATCACCCCTTGCACTCTGGGTTAATGCTTATCGACTATTTGTACCTTATTGGAAGATAGGAAGGCGCTCTTCAAAGAGGCGCGTATATATAATCCCCCTTAAATGTTCGAAGAAAGACGTAACATTTTCCCTACTTTTTCATACGCGCGTCTTTAATCCCACCTGATTCTGCCTGCGAAACTTCTTGTCTCCAGCATTTCCAGAGATCCTGCTCTATCTACGAGTCAATATGCAACGCAATCGTGAGACTATGTCCGACGATTTTTTCGAAAACTTAATTAGCAACAACGTTAGACCTCACGCGAATAAGGAGAAAAATAGACTCATAATA